ACACACACACACACACATAAACACACAAAATCTCATATGAAAAAAAAATCTGAACGATCCATGCACCAGACACTTCAAGGTCACAACGCCTTGACTTCACTGCACAACAAAAAAACTTCACCAAACAACAACCAATAAAAAAAGCAATTAATACGTCATAGTGGTGGGGGGAGGCCGAGAATCAGCTGTAAACAACTACTCTCAATCTTCCTTATTTTTCTAGAATATTTGCTATCTGATAATCATCAATTTGCTATCTGAAAATCAATTATTCGAATTTTCTAAAATAGTACCTAACTAATATAATGTAAGTAAATAACTGTATTGTTTCTGTTAAAAGAAGCTGTTGTGTATAGAGAAAAAGGTCGCAATTTTTGCTATGGCTTCTCTAGTGAAAATCTCACAGGTACTGTAATAATGAGTTTTGAAACGTTCAGATTTTTTCATACCTACTCGAGTTTTAAATATTTGAATGATAATGGGAAACGGAGTAGAATGCCAAAAAAGTTTTCTCCCGAAATTAACGATATGTCCTTAAATGATAAACAAATAATCAAAAAATTGGCAAAATAAATGTACTTGATGAAACTCCACAATCTCCATATTATTGTAAAAATTTTATCTAACAATTGACAAAACTACAACACGTGATTCTTTCATTATATGCTCATTGATATGAGTTTGTATACGTAGATCATCTACAGATATGTAGACGTTTTACTGGTACAGATAGGCAATTAGGCAAGTTCGTTGAATATACCAATTCCATCCACTCGTCAATAAAATTCACCACTGAAAGGAAGGTAAATAATACAATGAACTACCATGACTCAACCATTTCGAAAAATAACAATAAACAAGATTTTGCAATTTTCCACACATCATCTTACACGGACATTATCATACATAATTCCTCCACACACCTTAACATAAAGCAGCTGCATTCAATAGTATGCTTCACAGACTATTGAATATTCCACCGCCTGAGAATAATTTTCAGAGAGAGCCGAGTTTGATCAAACAAATCGCGGTCAACAACGGTTATAAGGTAGATATTACAGACAGATATTATTGTCCAAAAAACTACAAAAGCAAGTCATGGATCAGATTTACCCAAATTCAAGATGCGATAACGTCAGTTAAAGGACATTGTCATATTTGGGTGAACTCACCAATAATATTGCAGGTTTTTAAGTAGCTTACGTAGCTTACAGAATGATTGATAGGTAGTCTAAGTCAATTTATCAAAAACAATAAAAACAAAACTTCGGTGTCGGATGGATCTGAAGTATATAAGCTGACTTGTGGCTCTAGCCCAAAACTGCATATTGGCAGAGAGAACATCTTCCCAAAGAATTAAAGAGAATAGAAGTAGTGTTGTAAATAGAAAGACCAATTCCACATTTGCAAATCATCTTATCGCAGAAGGACATGAATACGACCTGTTATATTCAGAATTGAAAAGTTTGAAACTCATTCTACTAGAATATTCAGAAGTCAATAGATTCGAGAGTTCGGGTGATTTACTGAATGCTCAATTAGAATTGAATAACTCCCTGTTACTGAATATTTTTTCAAATGTGGAAACTGGTACATAAGCTCAGGTAATTTAACTCATTACAACCTCAAGTACACATAAAACAATTAATGACCAGGTAAAACTCAGGTACTTGAAATGTAGGTACTTTAAATTGTAAAATAAGGTTTATAAAGTATTGAGAATGTATAAATTAATCAGTGAAGACATGCCCGAAGAAGCCATTGTATGGCGAAACACGTGTTGCGTTTTTGAAAAACTGTTTAGTAAATATCTCATAATAAATTATTTTCTGAATAACGTTAGTCTTCATATAACATGGAACGTCATTTTTATGAATTATAAAAACGGCGCAAGAACAGATCAATGTAACATCACCTACTTGAAAGACATCGATCGTGTAAATATTTCAATACAGAATAAAAGTTTAATTTTCTCGAATATTTTGTCAAAAATCATTACATTCTCTCAATAACTTCCCTATTCATATTTTACAATTCCAACGTATTACAAAAAAATCATCACAAGGTAATAATTTCAACTTTCACAAATACCTACTTTCATTGATATTTCCTTTATCGTTGAATTCCAGTTTATTCACCGCTATACCAAAAAAATACCAACCTATTATGAAGGTCTTGACGTGTTCGAATTCCCCATCCGAGATGGATATGCCGGCGGGTCGTGAAACCCGATTTTCCTTCTGTACGACAATTTTCATTGAATGTGGAATTTCCTCGAATAAATGGTATTTCTTTAAAATCGAGCTCGCACTTTCGGCTGAATCACTGTTCGGTATTGTTGGGCCGCTAGCTATGAAATCTAATGGATCTCCAATAATATCCGAAAGCACTAGAGAAACGACTCTACACGGATAGGCCAACTCCGCCAAACCCCCTCCTTTCATAATGGAAATTCGTTTTCTGACGCTATTCAGTTCGTAAATGTCAGCTCCTGAAAATTTTAAAAAGGGTAAAGTTGCAGCATTTCATTTAAACTTACGAAATAGTTAATTGAGCTTTCACTAAAAGTATTCATCCAATAGATTTGAAGATATTCAATGAATGGTACTCATTCATATTTCCCAAAAACCGAGGTTTGCTTGAACCTCGGTTTTTGGATTCTTCCAGATTTTCTAACATCAAAGAGCTCTCATCTATTTGCCTATCTTTGGTTTGTGAGAGAATCGTTTGAAAAATAACTATAAATATAGTTTCAGTTGATACGTCAAAAAGAGTGTTTCACCACGCCACTGAAGATGACTGCCGCAGTTGCAGTTGAAACGCTTAGTTGTCCAAAGTTTTTTATCCGCATCCAAATCAATTGAACTGTGCTTGAGATTAGCGCCCACAAACGTGGTTACACATCTATCGATGAGCAGGTTCTCTTTACATCCAGCGACTCCTCTCTTCGACCCAAAAACTCACCTCGTTTTGACAATTCTTTTATGACTCTTTGTTTCTCGTCTAAAAGTATTGGTGGTATTGGTAAAGGAAGAAGTGCGGATCCTCCACCTGTAATATATAATATCTATTAGTTACTGAGATAAAAATGTGTAATTTTATTTTCACTCAAAAATCATCGAATGAACTTTTCGACCTACTGGAAGGAACTCAGTGGTTCATCTCAACACCATAGTGAAGCCTTTTCGAAGATGTAATAAAATTATCTAAATATTGGTAAGACATAACCCATCAAATATACTGTTTAGTTCTCTCTTGAAAACGTTATTTATCCCAGTCAATAGAAAATGTTTTTATAAAAAAACTTATATTCGATATATATCAAAAATTTATACTGATATAAAATTTTCAAGTAACTTTATATTTCAGTGAATGAATACAAAATTATGAAACGTGAAAGTATCAACATTCTATCCACTTTTCAGGAATATAGCTACTTCAGAATTATCATCGACTCATCAACCATATCATGAATTTTGATATGATTGTCATCCTTCTATTGTCTGTTAGCCCATGTGAATAGATATTATTCATCCTTCGCTTCCAAAAGATGTTTAATAACATTTAGTAATTTTTCCACTCGCGACAAAAGTTATCTTTATCTGAATTGAACCATACTTATCAATTTTTCTACATTATTTGAAGATCCAAGAAAAAAGCCAGCGGTCGGAACTGCAGAACGTATTCAAACTCTCTAAATGTTTCCTCTATCAAAAACTGATTGTTTAAATTTTTCACGATTAAGAGTATTTTTCAACAGATCCAATTGATCTGTTCCACTTTCCATTCGTGTGCAGAGCAAGCACTAAGTGGAATGAATTCCGAATTATATTTTCATGACATTTTTGTTTGTGAGCCTAGGCTTAGCTTTGGTTTTTCTCTTTGGAAGAAAAAAAAATTGTCCCATTGTCACAAGAGTTTCACTTGCATCGTCTTTTTCGGGCTGATATCTTCAGGATGGTCACGATTATTGATTAACTTGTTAAAGTATTTCTGACTTTCTGCTTCTAATTGCTAAACAAATGAAAATAACTCGTAATTATTTCAGGTTGGTGAATTGTATTACTTTTCTGGAAAAATCTTCCGGGCCACATTCTTCTAGATTTCTCCCATTCTGCTACAAACTCCGACTGCATTTCAACTTTATCAATAAATCTTACTCCCTATTCTATATATGGGTCATTAGAGACGTCTCGTCAGGTAAAAATATGAAGTTATGGAGAGAACATTTGCAACTTCTCTTTTTATTTCTATAGTGCATTTTTTATAGAATCAGTCCAAAACAAGCACTGTTTCCAAACACCAGATATAAACGATTTTATCGACGCACGTTCCACCAACCGACTTGGCGTCTTCAGAAGATGAAGTAGACTAATTAGTCAATTTCTTGCTTATTTTGGATCCATATGTTTCAGTTTTACCTTTCATTCAATGGAGCAATTTTTTTTTGGTTTTAGAAGACATGTTGCTCTGAAAACCACATGATTTTATTGCTCCAATTGAATCATATGGCTCTATCCCTGAATTGGGAGGTGGTGATACCTATTGAAGTACATTTGTAATAACTCTCCAGTAATTAATTGTACTAACTAGTCGGAAGTTTATTTTGATGGTTACTCAGTTTGATGAAAGTGCCAAATTTTCATTTATTCTACTTTCACATATTCCAAAAATACAAAAATTTATTTTGCATAATAAATTGAACAGGCGTGGTTTATACATCAGAATTAGCTTTAGTTGAATAATATACCTGAATTGAAATGGAGATTTTAAAGATATACAGTGTGTCCAAGATAAGGATCCTAAGCATGGGAATCTCAGTACCTGTTGGAGATACAGCTTAGGTTAAATTAGGAAAAAGTTTTGTTCTTTAAAGCTTATTTACATGAACAACTGCTTGTAAAACATTATTTTGGGCTTCTTCTGAAGATTTCTTTTTTCGAGATAAAACAGGCTTTTTAAATGAACCATATTCTTTTAAATTTTGAGCCAGCTCTAAGAAAATGGACTTACATGGCTGCTTTCTTTATGGATATGTATTAAGATACATTGCTGCTGTATTTACAATATTTTTGTGGCACAAAATGTAGCACGTTAGCATGTTAAACTTTTCTTCATGGCTATAATGCTCACCCGGCATATTCGACGATAATAACACAATATTATCTATTCAACAATGAACAATAATAACGACAACAGTAACAATAACTCTAAAAACAACAACTCGACAAACAGGCTAACAACAACGACAATTACTATTTTATCGTGTAATTAAATAATATTTGACAGGCTCGGTGACAGGTATTTACGTCAAAGCATTTGTTTGCAACGCCTACTTAAAGATTTTTTTTTAAATAGAAAAAATGTAATTTTCCTTTAAACTAAAAAGAAAACAATGGCATATGATACATCGTTGAATTCGTAATAAAAAATGGAATCAGATACAGGGTGTACTTTTGTTTCGGGTCATATAAAAAAATAAAGTTGATGATGGTTTCTTGAAAACGAAATGTCGGATATGAAATCTAAAAATATCATCGTGTAGTACCTTGAAAGTGCCAATGAAAAAGTGTTATTCGTTTTTTGATATCTTTTCAAATAAAGTCAGAAAAAAATAAAATTGATATTGTCAAATTCTCGTTTTTTCCAAATATCTCAGCAGGCCATGAAAATTCTTCAAGTTTCTAAACGGCATGTAAATAAGCTTTAAAGAACACAACTTTTTCCTAATTTAACCTAAGCTGTATCTTCAACAGGTACTGAGATTCCCATGCTTAGGATCCTTATCTTGGACACACTGTATTAGTTCTTGAGAAAGAAATGTTTTAGGCTTTCTTCAACTGAAAATGTAGGAAACCATATATTTAAGGGAGAAAGAAAGCGTTTAGTTTTTAAATAAATTCTCCACAGAGATGTGTAGGATCATGTTGTTTCATAATTTCATAATTCATATCACTTTTTTGATATGCATTAAATGTACTTTCATATATAAACTGGAATGAAAAGCCCTCTCGAAACAACTACTTACATAAGATAATTGAATTATACAAAAATTACGTTTTCCCATTTATTTTGTATTCAAAACATTCGTTATGGAACTGAATCAGATATTATTCATAGAACTCTACACAAAATCATATATGAAAGAGTCACGATATAAAATTTTACTTTCACGGAACACTTTCATGATCAATGACGAACTTAGAAGTTTCGTTTCAGCACCGTTCTGGATAACATTTGAAGAATGAGCACTCAATTCATTCAAAACATCACGACTTTATGTCACGGAAGATTTAAATCTACTCATGTCACGATAACAATACGTGAAGTAATTTTCTGCTTATTTGATTAAATCCCAGCCATAGAAATCTCGTTTGAATTGAAAGGGGTATTTTTGAGAAAGGTCTGGTTTTTGGAAAATATCTCACATTCATGCTTGAAGATGCAGAAGAAGAAAGCCAAACAATATCTTTCCCAGCATTCAAAATGATATAGTAATTCGTTTTATGATATTTCAATAGTGAGTTCTCGAATACTCATCAGACTCCTCGAATTGAAATATATTCTGATAAGGAGGATTTAAGATAAGATATCTTATCAAGAATATGAATGGAGGTGGTTGACAATGTTTCATGGTGTGTTTCATCAGTTCGGACTTCCAATGTCTAATATAATATAAATTGATTGGAAATCCCTAAAAAAAATTAAAAAGAATAACCGAAAATAACGATTTTATTAAACAAAAAAACTGTAATTACAAAGAAATAACAGACAAGCAACAACAAAAAAAATAAAAAATTGAAATATTAATAAAAGCTGAAAATTAAAAAAATATTAACAAAAATGAAAAATTAAAATTAAAAGATTCCAAATCAAGTTATGTCACGACGTTTCGATTGTGGATACTAACTATTAAAGTTCGAACTGATGAAATAAGAATATGAATTATTTTTGAAGCAATATAATATATTTGGTGATTCATTTATAAAATGATTTTAGAATATGTCATAACTTTGTGAAACATCCTGTAAAAATACACAAATTATGTTCGTTCACTTCATCCGTGGACCAGTTTTGACAACAATATAATATACTGGGTGATTCATTCATGAAATAATTGTTGGATGTGTCATAACTTTGTGACACATCCTGACCGGTACTGACAATGCCCAATAGGCTGAAACAGCTGTCTACCAGTGGCTCTTAAATTGAAATCAATATGGGAATGATAAGAATAGTACTTGATTGGTCAAACCACCAACACTGACAAAACTTGGCATATATAGAAAGTAGTTAGTAACAAGTGCCGCATTTGCTCAAATGAGAAAAAAAATGTATCGAGGAAAATTTGGAAATCGAACAAAGTCTTACCGGAAACAAGTACAATGAGCAAATCTGCTTCCGTTAAACCTTCCACCAATTCCTGAATCATTTTTGCTCCTCTCAAGGCATTTTCGTCGGGTAAATTATTCTTTGCTCCTTCCACATATTGAATTTTCGTTCTCGGAACATTTTGGTACTTTTCGAATATTCCTTCTGGCACGGACACTATTCCCCTCTCAAGTTGATTTCCTAAAACTTTCTCTATTTCGGTAGCCATGCCGAGTACAGCTTTACCGAAACCTACTACATAGCATGGCTTGAGCAGTCGATAAGTTTGTCCTCTCACCACTAGATTGTGCCCGTATAACTTCACCTCATTCCTTATAAGCTGTTGGGGCTCTACGGATTTCACTGATTTCATAAAAATCTCTTTCAGTTCTTCAGTTGTCATCTTTCTGGCATGTTGTAGTAATGATTTACAGCTTCTGTACACATTAGGTGAAGTCACTAATTTGAAATTATTACGGAACATGAATTTGTGCTATTGAAAAACGGAATTATCTTGAAATTTATTATCAACTAAAGGTCAGCCTGGCAGCATTGCCATATTTCTTAACACAGAGCCGGCTCTAGGAGGCATAATAACATACAGAAACATTGAAAATTAACATAACGTTATAGTAACAATAATTATATTATGCTAATTTCAAAGTGTCTTTTCATCTTTATACAGGGTGGTACATTAGGACCAAAAAGTAAAACAGCAACCTTGTTGGCTGAAATTCAAAAAAGTTTTAAATTAAAGTTGCAGCATACGTCATGATACATATCCTGAAAATAGTAAGTACAGGGGTAGTTAAAAAGGAGGAGTGCATAAATGAATTTACATATAGTATCGAATTCATAATAGCCATTGATTGATTGAGATGTCTTTAGATAGCAATACATATCTGAAAATATTGACGATATCTAAACTTTCATCTGATTAGAAATGATGTACATAAACTATCGAACTCAGTTCAACCGATGGATGAAAAATTTGATGTCAACAAAAATGAAATATTCTAAATGTTATCTAAATTTCTTACATAATTTAACCAAAATTTGGAAGCAAAATACCTCTGATTCCAGATGATAGTATAATTTTTGCATTTTAAAACATATTTGATAGTTGTGAAAGCTTCTATATACGAGGATATAATATATGCACTTCATCAAAGAAGTGTTGCAAGATTTACACAAAAAAATAATTTCTAAGAATATACTCCATCACATTTAGTTTCATGTCAGTTGAAATGAGCCAAACAACGAGAATGGAGGTAGAAATTTGGGCACCGAAGTTTCCGAAAGGTAAACTTGTTGATGCCGAGTTCACTTATACCGGTGGAGATGATATAGTCATATCAGTGGTATGTCGGAAATATCATAGGGAAGAATTCAGATTCACGAAAACAAGGACCTTTATACATACCTTCGACTGAAGTCATTTGATATTTGGCCAGTAAATACCAAACACCAAAGGAAATTGCTGAGGCAATATTCTTCTATTCTGGCAGAAGTGATCGAGTCAAAATTCTCTACTGTGGTTTCGAGGTGAGAGATCGGCTATATGAAGATGTAGTATAGATACACAATCAAATTTTCTATGATGAATGCCAATTTTGGTAACTCGGAAATTCAAATTCAGACATGGAAAATATTGAAAATTCCAGCCGTACCTCTGCCATAGTTCGATAAATCACTTGTAGAATTTTTTTGTGAATAAAATAGATTTCAGGTAGGTATTTATTTTATTGTATTGTTTATTTTTTTATGTGATTGTCCAGTTAATACATACTTTTTGAAGATTTGTATTACAAGAATAAATATCAATCTGAGTTTTTTTGTGAATTTCCTTTCGCTTTAATGATGGTAATTACTCAATTTGGAAAGTATCCAACAAATATCATCGATCCAATTTCAAATAAAGTACATGGACAACAAATCCGGCAAATACGCTTCTTTACGCACACATATTAGGATGCGTCGCTGAAGATTTGAACTATCCGCAAATATTTTTGATGAAGGATGATGATATTTTTGAAAAAGATTATGGCTTTCTACTTTTCAGTTTCCTAACAGAGAATGTGGGAAACTAACGGAAAAAGGAATAATGAACATAGTTCACAATGAAAGATATCCAAGAGAACCTCAGATCCCTGAATAGAAATTACGGAAACGTATTGGACTCTGTCAATTTCTGTTGCAATCAAATTATACTGTGATTCCAAAATAGTAGGCACTATTTTGTCAGGAACCTCTGACGTTTTTGTCTTGCCTTGCTTTGTCTCTCACAGTGGCGTACAGAAATCATACTAAACAGATGAGGAAAAATGATGAAATATATAGAATCACAACCTTGACAACAATGTTGTGCCTACTTTTATGGAATTGTTCTTTACGTTGAAGCCGCTCTGAATAAAATGAACAGAAAAATAACATATTTGTCGAAGTTCATTTCTTGATGAAGCAGGCTTGTGAGAATAATATAGAAGTTAGGGTGTTCCATATAATAATAACGAAAATTTATTAGTAGTCTTAAAAAAGATCTACATTCATCAAAACACTAAGATTTATTGCTTCACTAACAATATCTAGTGATTCATTTCGCATGCAAATATTCGCAGAGTAAATCACTATAGAACTGTGAAATCTTGGCCCAAAAATCATTACATTCAAATAACTAGGGTTTATGAATGAACAGTGGTCTGCATTGACAGTGTCACAAGCACTGTCTGCCATTTCGCCGAAAAGCTGTGATATTTGAGTATCATCAGCGTATAAATGCACCTGACAAGTGTAAAGAACCTGTAGTGAGTATATATAGAGTACAATGAAGGGCCGAGTATGGTACCTTTAGGTGCCCCTGATTTGAAATATAATATTTCTGAGCTGCATCCTACTAAACTAACCAGTTGCTGTCACTTCTTTGAATAGTCCGTCAATATGCCAGAGCGTTGACAGAAAAACCATTGAATTACAAAATACTTAACAAAAGATTATGATTTATAGTATCAAACGCTCAATTCTCGCTCGCTCAATTCTCAATACTTTCCAGAATTCTATAGATTTTCCTTAAAATCAGTATCTCAAATACACTGATTTTTCGAATAAAACTGAGATATCGAAAAGGTTCCTGAGTTCTTTATAATAATTGTCTGTCTCAGTTTTGAACTTTTTGTATCTTATATGCGCATTATATCTATAGGTAGTATCATGTACTTCAAATTCAAACGCCAGTACAGGCCTTTGTGTAATTTTAATAGTTTATTAGGTGCGTGAATATCAAATATCACTGAGACTTGTATCATCAGAAAAGCGTTAATTTAAATGTATTTTTTGGTTCATTCATTCATTTTTTATTCATCATTTTAATAAACAAATGATCAATATTGGCATCTATTAGGTAAGATGTAGCACTAGATAGTAACATTTTACAGATTTCTGCATTTTAATTTTAGAGATGAGATCCTCATACATAGATGTCGCGTGAATCGTGAAGTACAACCTGATCAATATGGACTCTTTTCTGTATCGCTATTTTCTCATTTGCAAGACCCAATCAAGGTTGCTGTTGATAATATTGCAGGTGGTTCAGTTTTCCACTACACCTTCATTATATCCTAGAGAATTCCATTGAAACTATATATTCCTTCCCCATCGAAATTTAGACAAATATTTATATCTAGATGAAATTTATCCTTTTCTTATGAAAATTATCTAACGATCGTCTTCCCTTTTCAGTTTTTGAAAAGTGGTTTTTGAAAGTGAATTATAACAGGTATATCCATTTATCCTCTTCGAATCATTGAACTTTTTTTTCATTCAATATAACCATTGATATTCCCTATATTATCTGCCATCGTTTCAAAATGATCAGTAATCAATGATTTTTTTGCTCCCTAAGATGTTTCCTTATCAGTCATTTCTTTAATATTCATTATAATATTCCCCTTTTTTGAATTGAATGAAGACAGTTGGTAAGTTGAAAAAAAATGTTTAGCGTCATTTGTTTATAAATGGTTCATGAATAAATAGACTATGAAAGTATTGAAAAAAATATATAATTTTGTTCTCTTCATGATATAATGATTTTTAATTTTTTTTTCAACAACAATTAAAAAAAATATATTGTTTATAATTGCAAATGTTCAAATACTCAGTTAAGAACTGTTTTCTATACCAAAGATCATAAATGACATTCCTCTAAAAATCAACAAAAAAAATTATTAATAATTTTATTGTAATAGCTAAACAATTTGTTATAAACCAATTTTCAACCACCATCTATTTTTTCCTTAAACCGATAAAAATCACAAAAATAATCATACATTTCAAACTTTCGAAAAATATTTTATTGCTACAAAAGTTGCATAAACCACTTGATTTGTAAACTAAAAAACTTTGAAAGATATAAAAATAAACATTGGGTTTTTTTAATAGGGAACTGACAGATCTTTCAACTGAGCTCTTCAACAAATTTGTTACTATTATTAATCAATTGCATTTGTTTGAAAAAATAACAGACATTTTTGACGTTTTTCGCAATATTTTATACTTCTAGTATGATAAATAACGCAAATAGGATATTATTCCTTCAAAGAAGTGTAGTCTATTGATTCGATCTGCAACCGATGCAACTGTTTATTCAAAATAATTTGGTTTTTCATCTATCAATTTATAGTCTTGATAGTTCGTACCTACCGGAATCTCTGATGTAAAATGAATCTATTGAAAACACTTTCACTGACTATTCCCTACTTTTTTCAAAAAATACACCTCACGATTTGATCTCCACAAACTTTATTTGAAAAATATATCACAACATGTTTCGCCAACACAGTAGCTTTATTAAGTGATTTGAATGCCTCAAGTTGTTTCTTACACTAATATTTATATACTGAAGGTAACCATAATTGATACTACCTCCAAAAAAAATTACCTAATCCTCTACCTAAGGTACCTGTTGAATTATGATCACCTGAAGCATATTACCAACATCTTCATCAATACTGATTCTTTATCGGTTTTTAAGAAAACAAATTTAATAATGGTGATCTATTCAAATCCAGTTAGTCATTCATTAGAATGTTTGAATTTTTGAGTTTATTAATTTCCATTGCTTCCAAATAATTTGTGCAGAATTTCTTCTAGATGATTTGAATAGGTTGCATTTGTTTTCTTATTTACATTGCTCGTATGATGCTTCTGGAATCGATTCCTAAATGTTCTGCCAGTTTGACCAATATATACCTTAGGACACGTTCCACACATCAATTTATATACTCCTGATTTCTCGAATTTGGGTGTTTTGTCCTTATTATTTTTAACTAACTTTCCCAAAGTATTACTTATTATATATGCAATTTTAATATCTCGTTTCCTCAAAAATTAAGCCAGTTTTTCCGCTGTTTGTCCATGGAGATCAAAATTTTACATATAGAAAATGAAGATTTGAAACTGAATCATTTGGAAGCAATGGAAATTAATTCAAACAATCTAAAGAATGACCAACTAGGTTTGAATAAATCACCATTATTGAACT